AACGTACCCCCTTTTATTCATATTGTTATGTTACTCTGGTTATGTTTTCTTCCTTTCGCAATCTGTCTTGTTGTTCGTGCAAATACTTCAAAACTCAACGTATCATTGTTTTTACAGGACTACGAGCTCCAGAACTGGGTCAAGGATCTGCATGACAATGGCTATCCAAATAAAGCAGGCCATACAAACCATGGTGCTCCAACATCCTTAACCAGTTGTGTCCAGCTGTACGAATTCTTGACCTCCATCATCTTCACCTGCGCCTGCCAACATGCAGCAGTTAACTTCTCCCAGATGGATGTATACGGTTTCCCGCCAAATTCTCCAGCACTCATGCGTCAGCCACCACCGACCAAGAAAGGGGTTGTGGGACAAGCAGATCTCATGAAATGCCTAGCCACTAAGCACCAGTCTTCCCTCACAATCGCGACGGTGTATGACTTGACCCGTATCTTTAATGACGAGGTACAGTAATGCATAACTTCGCTGTGATGTCTTCGGCTGTACCAGTTGAGAGTTGCTAGAGCGTTAACCCTTCTTCATTCGCTCTCAAAAAAGGCTAATGTTCGAAACGTTAGCTTTAGAAACTCTTTATGGTGACCAATTCACATTATTATACACTAGACTTACTATGAAAGTTCTGATCGATCGACTGCATTCGTATACAATAGCGTGTGAAGTTGACGTGTTAACCCAATATCTGCAGCAGATATCGAGTTATCATGTCGAGTTCAAAGTATACCTAGTCTCCAAGCCCCTCGTCCATGTAGTGTTCTCAAACTTTTGCAAACTCAAAGATATATCAAACTTCGTGTTATCAGTAGATAACTCAGACCTCGGCATTTGATAGTTGAAGATCATCATGCTTAACCTCATCCAATAAATGCTTATTATTAACTCAGTTGATAAACCAAATTATCTTGTGATACATGCCCCCTCCAACCGACACAGCACTACAGTTTCTTTAGAAACTTACCCTCTTTATTCTTGTACCAGTTGAGGTCGTCTCTACAAGTTGACGTAGGCTTAGTGTAAACGGGACACATTTCGAAAAGCAGGCGATCGATACGCACACGTGCTTCACCTGCAAATGATGTAAAACCATCAGTTCCCAGGTGATTTTATCATCGCAGCATGATACATTTTTTTCGAACGTAGATCGTACTATTTTAACACCACCTATAATCTTTTTGCCCTTGACAGAAATTCATTGGTGACTACCCTGAAGAGCTATTCATTGACGAGCCTGCTAAAGCCGCCATTGCAACATTCCAGAGGAAACTGAAGGGCATATCCGCTGAAATTAAGGAGCGAAACGCAAAACTTCGTGTCCCGTACCCATACCTTTTGCCAGAGCGTATTCCAAATAGTATTGCCATCTGAGCTCGGAAAGGAAGAGAAAACAGCTCCTCTCAGTTTTCCTCATGATAAGACGTTGGGGAGGGTTGTTAATATTTTTACCGTTGTGTAGTGTGAAATTTTAGCTTTATAGAGAAGTTTCTGTGTAAACATAAACTGTACTGGTGTACTCCAGTAATATCATGGACGATAACTTCAGTACGACAAAACTCTATTTACAGACTGAATATTGCAAAAGTCGCATACACAGAAAACATAAAAGTTGCATTTACAACAACTGAAAATAGAAATAAAAAACTGTTCGTGTAGCAAATCCGTTCTGCATGAGTTTGCTTTTGGCTCGTTATTCAATTTTGCACGCGTTCTCTTCTCTGTCATTAGGAAATCCCTTGTGTGTAACATTCAGCGCTAAAAAACCCCAGCGCTCAAACCCCAACGATTAGTATGCCACCCCTGTCAATTCGGTCGCAAATTTTTTTAGCAGAAAATTTTACAGCAATTTTCGCGTTCTTTCCTTTTAAGCTCTTTCTCAAAGACCAACATCTGTTCAAAGGGAAATATTTGATTTTACTCTCGCCTGTCGCACTCAGATGATTAACCAACCCACTGAAAATTCTCCTCAGCAAAGGGATCGGGCAAACAGAATTTCACTGCAGATACCCAGCTCCTCCAATCCTTCAAATAAAAAGTCAACGGGTATACCACTACATGAAATTCAGTGTGGAGTTGTTGGCGATGGTGTTATTTGCTCTCACTGGCTGTTGTGGGTACTCTCCCTCTGGTTTTGCGACACTTTTTGAGAGTGTTCTGCTTGTCTTTGATGCTGTATTCCACAATCCTTTGGACATACACATTCACCTCATAGGGACGAACGATAAACACGATAGCAGTACTAGAAAGAGTTAGAGTATATATTCATTAGACTTAGAAAACAATAGCGGTTCTTTATGTCAACAAAATTGAATAAAAGGATTGGACTGGAACACCATTCACTGAGATACTACAACCACTGTTCCCAAATTTCCCTTTCCCGACAATGCATCACGTGGCCATACATGAATAAATGGCACCCCGTGCGGAATATATTTCATCATTATTTGAAATAAAATGACTGAGGCACGTGTTTTAAATGTGATTGAAGCCGCTGGCCGATTGACATCCATCGGTGAATAATTGTTTTAGTATAATTTCAGAGCTGAACAACAGAGAAATCTCTAAAATAATAACATTTAAGTAACCGCTCGACCAATCAGATTGCTGGAAAGTCTTTGCTCAGCTCTGAAATTATACTAACATCAAATGCACAGTCTGGAGGCGGTCACTCTTAGAAGCAAGGAGAAGGGCACCTTAAAAATAGGGCACCTTAAAAAAAAAAAAGGGACACCTTAAAAATAGAAACCAACAACAAAAAGATCTTCCGGATAGCTTTGAGAAAGATGAAGTTTATTTAAATATTAATAAGGTACAATTAGGTATTTGCACAAACACAGGAGTTACTTTGATAAAATCATTAAATACCATAAGCCATGGTCACGGGGAAATCAACCCGAGCTAAAGATCACACTGAGTTCGACATCAACTAAATCATTTCTTCAGACTAGCGCTCATTTTAGACACACACCTGCACACTAACTTCCAATCTCTTCACTTCTTTCATTACCCTCCCCTCCCTAGATACTGGCACATATCCTGACTGCCTATCGCCCTAGGCTCCGAGTGGGTCTCTGTAGTCATAGTTAAGCTGTTCGCAAAGTAACCTACTTCGCCCACAGTCGATACGGGGTTATTCTGTTGGTATGGCATCAAAATTAAATCAAGTGGAAGAATTATTCCAGTGTTTTAATTGAATAAGACTTAAACTCCAAGGGATCAAACATGTCGACATTTCAGGTTTGTGTGTAATTAAAAAGAAATTATTTTCATTTCTGTTTTTAACCCCAGGTAATAAGTTATTCTTTTAAGCTTTTAAATAAACTTAAATGCCACAATAATCTCACAGCCAGATCAATTTTTCTTCTGACTGTTGAATGTGAGCTCAAAATTCCTTAATCTAGTCTCTTTTATTGCCAAGAACCCCTCATTTGTCCAATACCTAGTTACTTTATCTATAGTAAGAAAATATCCACTCTTCAGATACACACCAATTTTCCGATCGCTGTCCTGTTCTGTGATTGCTACAGCCACAAAGGGCCACCTGATTTTAAAGTAATATTTTCCAAATTACGTCGTCATTTATTTGGATATTTCTATCAGAGCACATTTTTGACTAGGACGATTTAACAAAAATTAGAATTAAACAAATTAATCAAAATTAGATGTCTAATTTTAGGGATACTTTAATTGTAAAAATTGAATTCAACACTGCCCCTAACAAATTATTCTTATCTAGGTTAATGTTCATCAACTTTTCTATGCCATGCATACGCAGGCAGAGAAAAAAGATAGATTTAACGGTTATGAAATAACTGAGGTGGTGTTTTAAAATAATACAAGTTTAAACCCATATCCCTAAACGCGAATGAGAAGTCAAAAGAAAGTTTTTCAAGTAGTAAAAATATTTTCCATGATAGCAATATTTTATTTATTTATTTACAGTTTTATAAAAATGACAAGAGTTGTTGAAATTTTTCAGAAAAATAACGGTATTGTTAAAATTAACTTCTATTTACACGTTAGGGTAAGTTTAAAAGAATTTCCTCGATTGAATATGCGTTGTAGGCAACTGCAAAAGGTACAAAAAGTTAATATTGACTACAGGTATGTTTGTTTTTAGAGAGAGAATTCATAAGCTGTGCAAGCAGTATGATTTTTTCTCGTAACATAAAGGGCAAAATTACTAAATGCTGATTGGCTGAGACCGAGGTTTTTTTTTTTCTTTTTTTTTTTCATGAATTTTGGTAAATTGCCCCAGAAAAAGTTGCTTGATATTGATAACTTCTTTGGTCTCTTCTCTTTGGTTTTTGACCTTCTTAATAAATGAACTTTTTTCCTTTATATTTAACAAAAAGTAGTCGCATATTTCCTGGTAAAAATGAGGATTTATATCACTTTTGTTTTCAAATGTTGCAGAAATCGTCCTCGTCGCGTATCGACGAAGGCATTTTATGTAACGTTTAAAAGAAACCTTTGATATACTCGGCCCCGTGAGATTACCTTTACGAATTCCTGTTTTGGTAATGATTCCTTAAAACTTAAAGAAATTAAGGCAAGAATTCCATAGAAACCCATTCTTGTTATAAAAAAGAAAAAATCTTTGATAAAAGAAAACATAATCGAAAAGCAGCAGGTGACCTTTGGAACTAAGGTTTCGTTTTAAGAAAGCATGGAATTGTACGGACATTTTCCAAAACCAAAGGAAATTTAAACACAGGTTATGATTTTGTGATAAAAACTCGATCGTGAATTAGCTTTCTCAGTTGTTGCAAATGTCTTTTAAATTGTCTGGCGTACAAATTCGTACTCACTATCTAAATATATCGGTGAAAAAATTAAATTGAGTGAAAAAAAAAACATTTGAAAAAACCTATGTTGCCATATAATGCTCTCGGCGATCCATAAACTTATTGCATCGATCGAGAGTTTTAACAATTTACATCACAAAAAGGATTTAACAAGGGAAGACGCATGAACAAGTTTACATGATGGGTTCCCAGACCGGTATTTATGGATATGGCAGCAAATACATACCCGAAGATGCAAAAACTTCGCTTATCTGTTCCTATCTTCCCTCAAAAGGATCTGCATTAATAGAGATTCGCATGTATACTAATTAAAAAGCGTATGTAGATTGACATAAATATTTCTTGAATATAGTTTCTGTCAATTTCAGGAGACGAACAGTTGACGTCAGAATATATAATTACTGTCATTACGGAAAACCGCAGGGGGGGCTGCAACGGCTGCATCAGTGTCAATTATAATCAAAAGTAACTTACCCTGACACCTTGCTCTCGTCAGGTTTCCATATCGAAACAAAGAAGAACCAAAGAGAACTCATGGGCCCTTTTAGTCTGGGCATTAGTACTTTCTTGAAAAATTCCAAATTTCAAGGTGTCGCGTCAGTTTAGAAAAATGCACCTCAGGTGAGGGGTACACTTTTAGAATTTCCTCACTGTTTTCATTTCAGTAGATTTCCCTCAAAGTGAACTTTTTCCTCTCGCTATGAAGTTAAGTAAAGCAGTGGAATTGTTACGTTTGAGGTTTCCAACTGTAGTGGTTCGAGTGTTTGGAAAATACCCTTGATAAAATGGGACCTTATAGCTGCATATCTCGTCGGAGTGGTTGTCCCAGTGGTAGCGGAGAAATGGGGGCTAGTTTCATAATTATCACGACTTATTGAATTATCGATTTATGACTTGAAAAATTATTTTTAACTGTGTTAAACTAAGCGGCCATGAACATTTGAGCAATTAATTACCCTAATGTATGTTTAAAATGTCATCTTAGGTAGCAACGGCGAAACAAACCCTCTTTCTTCAGACAAATGGTTCCATAATGACTTCGAAGCTGGACAGAAGGACGACTACTACATAACCGCCAAAGATGTTGGCGAACTTTTAATGATCACTCTAAAAAGTGATGGTGGTGGGTACAAAAGTGATTGGTTCGTCAACAGAGTGACGAACAGACTAAGAACGTCACCTATGATTTTCCCTGCAATCGTTGGCTAGAGAGTGAGGTCACTCTCTTTGAAGGAAAAGGTAAGATAGCCATAACTTCGTCTCTCTCCAAGTTCACACCTTTATAAAAGAAATCGGCCTGGTCGTCCAATATGTGTGTGTGTGTGTGT